TGGTCCTTCACTAAGAAGTTACCTCCATTTTAGTTCTTTTCGGATTGCAGTATTCAGCTCCGTGACTCATTACGTAAAGCATCTATCTCCAGGTCCTTATCCCTTGTGACATGCTGATGCACAATTGTGCATTAAAAAGTCTGAAGTCCAGCAAGTTAAATTTAAGTCACTGTGATACCTTAGATACATAGATTCCATGGTTTTGGCAGCAATGCAGAAATGATTTGGTACTGCCTTCTTTTGGGATGTCTTTTTGACTTACTAGTCCAGTGTTTCTCAATTCTTGCAACTTTAAGATGTGGGGACTAACTCCCAGAATTCTCCAGCCAGCAGCAAGATTGAGAAACACTATCCTAGTTTAATTTACAGCCCTGGAATTTTCTCCTTCCATGCAAGTATTAACCAGTCCTGATCTGCCTAGCTTCCAAGCCCAGACAAAATGCAAAGGTGAGAGCCTCTTCAACAAAAAGTACATATTTTAAAATTGTAAATATTGGGTACAACTTTCTCTTCTTTTAAAGAGATCTCTTTCCTCACATATGAGACATGTACATATTCATAAATATTTGTTTGTTTATTTTCCTAAAGGGATGAACAGCTTTATTCTGCTTCCAAGCTTTCCAAAGAATTACTGGGAGCAGTTTTGCAATTTTTTTAAAAAATAAAGTATTCAGTTTTAATAAATTATTTAGTGCAAAATAGAGGGTTTTAAAATATTTCTTGCAGATTTTCTGTCTCCAGAAATGAGTTGTGCTAGTCATAAGAAATTTGTAGAAAGCAGCTCTGATTTCTAAAATCCATGAAAGTATTCATACTTCTGTGTTACAAAGATGACCTCTGGTGGTTAGTAAAGAATGATATGGTGATGCAATGCATGTTTCTCGGAACTACTGTAAGTTCACCAAGTTCCACAGAACCTATTTCTGAATTATATACAGGAGTTCAGTGAGAGTCTACATATGCAGTTTTTAAATGTACAGCACTTGACACACTATAAATATTTTCAGTACTTGAAAAAAAAATGTCATCCATTATTATTCTCAAGTATATTAAAGCATGTCTGCTTGTGAGTACAGCCCTCAACTTAAAACCGCAAATGGAACCAAAATTTCTGTTTCTAAGCAACTTGATTATTAAGTAAGTTGCACCCGATTTTGTGTTCTTTCTTGCCATGATTGCTAAGAGAATCACTGTAGTTCTTAACTGAATCATGTGGCTAAGCAAATCCAGATTCCCCCATTGCTTTTGCTTGTCAGAAAATGACTAGGAAATGTAGGTGACAACCAGGCTGAGCCCAAGGGAGGGGGTCAAACGTGTCATCAGTCTTGAGACCCTTTGCACCCACAAGAGATCTAAGTCCAGCCCACCTTGAATTCTATTGACTCTTTGCTTTGCCTACTAGTAGTTTAGATTCTTGTAGATCTTGCAATAAATCTTTATATTCATTTGAACTGGTGGATGTTGCGTTGGCTGATGGATCAGGGTTCAGGCTTCAACTCTTAGAGCCCCGTAACAGGGGTGAGAATTTTAGAGGGACCCTCGCAAGGGTGATCACCTTGAGTAGGGAAAGATTTTTCCCTTTGCCACCGACCCAGTGTGCCGGACGATCAACGGTCACAGTAGGGAAATGCGATGGCGTATGAACAGAGTACAAACNGATCTTAATGAAAGTTTTTCGACCCATCCATTTTTTTTTAAAAAAAAATTAGTGTACACAGAATATTTTTGTTAGACCTGCTGGGTGGGTGGTCCTTCACTAAGAAGTTACCTCCATTTTAGTTCTTTTCGGATTGCAGTGTTCAGCTCCGTGACTCATTACGTAAAGCATCTATCTCCAGGTCCTTATCCCTTGTGACATGCTGATGCACAATTGTGCATTAAAAAGTCTGAAGTCCAGCAAGTTAAATTTAAGTCACTGTGATACCCTAGATACATAGATTCCATGGTTTTGGCAGCAATGCAGAAATGATTTGGTACTGCCTTCTTTTGGGATGTCTTTTTGACTTACTAGTCCAGTGTTTCTCAATTTTGGCAACTTTAAGATGTGGGGACTAACTCCCAGAATTCCCCAGCCGGCAGCAAGATTGAGAAACACTATCCTAGTTTAATTTACAGCCCTGGAATTTTCTCCTTCCATGCAAGTATTAACCAGTCCTGATCTGCCTAGCTTCCAAGCCCAGACAAAATGCAAAGGTGAGAGACTCTTCAAGAAAAAGTACATATTTTAAAATTGTAAATATTGGGTACAATTTTCTCTTCTTTTAAAGAGATCTCTTTCCTCACATATGAGACATATGTACATATTCATAAATATTTGTTTGTTTATTTTCCTAAAGGAATGAACAGCTTTATTCTGCTTCCAAGCTTGCCAAAGAATTACTGGGAGCAGTTTTGCATTTTTTAAAAAAATAAAGTATTCAGTTTTAATAAATTATTTAGTGAAAAATAGAGGGTTTTTAAATATTTCTTGCAGATTTTCTGTCTCCAGAAATGAGTTGTGCTAGTCATAAGAAATTTGTAGAAAGCAGCTCTGATTTCTAAAACCCATGAAAGTATTCATACTTCTGTGTTACAAAGATGACCTCTGGTGGTTAGTAAAGAATGATATGGTGATGCAATGCATGTTTCTTGGAACTACTGTTAAGTTCACCAAGTTCCACAGAACCTGTTTCTGAATTATATACAGGAGTTCAGTGAGAGTCTACAGATGCAGTTTTTAAATGTACAGCACTTGACACACTATAAATATTTTCAGTACTTGAAAAAAAATGTCATCCATTATTATTCTCAAGTATATTAAAGCATGTCTGCTTGTGAGTACAGCCCTCAACTTAAAACCGCAAATGGAACCAAAATTTCTGTTTCTAAGCAACTTGATTATTAAGTAAGTTGCACCCGATTTTGTGTTCTTTCTTGCCATGGTTGCCAAGATAATCACTGTAGTTCTTAACTGAATCATGTGGCTAAGCAAATCCAGATTCCCCCATTGCTTTTGCTTGTCAGAAAATGACTAGGAAATGTAGGTGACGACCAGGCTGAGCCCAAGGGAGGGGGTCAAACGTGTCATCAGTCTTGAGACCCTTTGCACCCACAAGAGATCTAAGTCCAGCCCACCTTGAATTCTATTGACTCTTTGCTTTGCCTATTAGTAGTTTAGATTCTTGTAGATCTTGCAATAAATCTTTATATTCATTTGAACTGCTGGACTTCTGATTTTCCCGTGCTTGACAGGAAAGCTGCAAATGGCAATCACATGACCCCAGGATTCTGCATCTGTCCAAAATACATGCTGATTGCCAAGCAACCGAATTTTGATCACATGACCATGAGGATGCTGCAAAGGTGTATGAGAACCAATTGCAAGTCACTTTTTTCATTGCCGTTGTGACTTCGAAGGGTCACAAAATGAGTCGTCGTAAGTCAAGGACAACCTGTATATTAAATCACAAATCAACTCCTATTGTTTTTAAATTTCATTACTGAAGCGTCCCTGGGAATGTATGTAACCTTTTTTAAAAAACATCTCTTTGGAACTTTCCTTATGAAATGCAAAGGAGTTTACAATATGCAAAATCAAAACAATTTGGCATGCATTGATATTGGCTGTTGGTTCAAATTGTTTGGGAGCTTTTGCCACCATTTTATACTAGCAACAGGTAAGATAAACAAGAGCCTCTGGAGTTGCTTGATAACACATCCTTATCAGGGTCTTGATCATAATTTTAGATGGCAGAATCTTTGCCAGGAATATTTCTAGGGAAGAAACCATCTCTGGTGGACAGCACCTATGGATGATGTGATGACATATTTGGGAAATAACTTGGGAACCCAGCGAAGTTCCTATTTATGAGAACACTGCTCTTAATTAGCTATGATTCCTTCTCACTTTGGCAAATCTTAGATTAGGAATCTGGTTTTGTCCTCTTTAATGGTTACAAGTTAGTATGTTGACAGACATGGAAAACCAGGTCTAGACGTGAAGGTTCAATCAAGCTGATTTATTGCTATAGCCTATGCACAAGAATCTTCTCAACTAAAGTCGGCACCTGCTTAGAATTGTATTAGGGTCACTGGCACTCAAGGAAGGTTGGACTTAGTTCATTTGTGGCTATGTAGGGACTCTAGACTGATTCCTCTTTTCACACCCCCCCCAGGTACTGTCACTCCTTTCCCCACATATACAAAGCAAAAATTATTAACAATGCAGTTGCATATTCTGCAAGAGTTGCTAAGTAACAATTTCTAAATGTATGTTTAAAGAAATTTGCAATAGAATTTATGATGTTGCCCAGTGACCATTCAAAGTTACTATGAACCTCCCCAGGGCTACATATGACCTGAATTTGAAGTTCCAATGGCCAGGCACATAATCATGTTTTGGGCACTCAGCAACTGGCCTGTATTTGCAACCACTTGCAGTGTGCTTTGGTCATTTGACTGTGATTTATAACTTTTTTTTTTTTGCAGGAAACTGGTGTTTATCTCCGTTTTCTGGCAAAAAAAGCACCCATTGCAGACAATGGAATTGCTTACTTAACGTTCACCTCAAAAAAGGTCATAAAATCAGGCATGGTCATGTGGTGATCCGCTTAATGACTGGAAAAACTTACAACTGTAATTTCTTTGCATGTAGTCTTCAATTTATGACTGTAATTGGAATTGAAGATGGCTAATTTATCCCTTTCTGTACAAGTATTTCTTTATGTGCAAAACATAAGGAAGTCCACAACAGTAATTCCTCATCAATCTTCCATGATGCAAAGCAAAACAAATACAAAACAGCTTTTGAAAATATATTCTCCTGCTTTTTCCCCCAATCAATTTTTATTTGATTTTTTAAAAAATAAAGTGTCAGTGTAATTCTTATGTTTAGTTACAAGGTGACTAAGGGGTGAATGCCCCATCTGTCGTTGGATAATCTTTCCTTATTTCCACGTCTCTATTAAATCTTTACGAAGATTTCCCAGCTCTTACTAAATGAGATAAATGACACTCTCATCATATTTGGCCATGTAAGACAGATAATTTTTTTATTAGAACTGACTTGATTATTATGGATTTTAATGTTTGACATGTTCCAGGAGCCACTGAATTCCATCCAATAGTCCAACCAGTGTGGCAGCTTCGATATCCTGAACCTGTAAAACCCAAAAGACAGATCCAAAACTGAAACAATTATTGTGGAGTTTACAGTTGCCCTCAAAGAATTTTTAAAAAAATATTTTAATGATCCTAATGACCCTCAAATTCTGTGGCTATTGCTACCACATCTGGTAACAATCACAAAACTTAATTACATTACCCAATTACATGAATGTGGGAAATATGTCTTCTTAACCTACTGTCAATCAATTATGTAATGCAAAGTTGACTACAGTGCAAAATGCTTAAAATATGCTTTAAAACTGACAAACGAAGTAGCAGCAGCCATTCCATCTGGTTGAATAAGAGAGGGAGAAGAAAGCAAAATCAAGCTGAGCTCTCGGTTCTTTTCATTAGTCACTTAAGAGCAGCCACTTCAGATAATTTAAACATGTTCATTATATTCAGTATCAATTTAAAAACTGGTATTTGATGGATTTGCCCTTCTCCTTCTCCATCCATCCGCCTTCCTTCTTTATGTCTTTAGATTATAGACTTGAATGAAGGCCTATATTTCTACCTTGAGCTATATAAGCTACTCTGGCAATGTGTATGTGTGTCTGTATATATGTTTACATAATTGAGTGTATAGTTCCCAAAAAATCAAAGTACCATCCATGATCGGTCAAGCAGGTTTAGTTGCAGCTGATGTGCCAGGTAAACACAAGGAATCCTTTCCTTTGAAGCACATGAAATGCAAGACAAAATCAACAGAGGTCTGGCTGAAGGCCCAAGTGTGGGATCAAGCATTGCTGAAATCCGAGCAAATTCAATTTGGCGATTGTGTCCTGCCAAGAGAGATGGTTGTTTCATTCACCTTTACCTGATGCACCTTAAACATCATCTTTTGAAAAATGCCAGCTTCATTCAGAAATTCTTACTTTTATGATCCTCAGCATCTGCAACGTAGATGAACCCATCGGCTAGCCTGCACACATTCTGAACATGTTCAATTAGCTTATATTGTGTTATCCCATCCACGTTGCTCGCTTCATAGAACATCTTATTGATGGAATTTGTAACTGCTTTGTCTCTCTGCCTTTCTTTGCTGGAAAAAAAGACACTAAATATTTCAAAGACTCTGAGGAAAAAGTAAAGCAAGGCTGCATGAGTCCTTTTGGGATTCGTGGCCAGATGTGGGTCCTATCAACTCTCTTATACCTTAGTTACAAAACTGTGTATGTGTGTCTTAGAGACAATGTTGATTCTTGGTGGCTGTTTGGACTAATCCCTGCAGTTTTCTTGGTAACATTTTCAAGAGTGATTTGCTATTTCCTTCTTCTTAGGTATGAGAGAGAATGACTGGTCCAAAGTCACTCACATGGTTTCATTTCTAAGGCTTTGTGTTCTCCCAGTTTCTAGCCTAGTGCCAACCACTACACCAACCTGGCCCTCAGTCAAAAAACTCATTAATTTTAATTTACTGGAAATTGATCACAGCTGTGGAGGGGAACAAGACTCACCAAATAACCCTTGAATGAGTCTCATATCCCCATCCCACCCCAGCTTTACAGCCTTGATTTAAATGATCTGATGACAAATGGCTTTGAACGGTGATGGCAAACCTATGACACATGTATCACAGGTGACATGCAATGTCATTTTTGGTGACATGCCAGAGCTCTGGTCTCTGCAAGTTATGAGAGAGGGCCTCCTCTAGAGCCTCCAAAAAGCATGTGAGAATCGGATGTGCTTTCTTGCTGTTTTCGGAGGCTGCAAGGCCACAAAAGGACATCTTCAAAGCATTCAGTCTTCATATGACCTGGAACTACCTTGGATAGACATTTTGAAAAATATTAATGAGTAAGTTTTGATTTATTTATTAAATAAGAAATTTAAATAATATTACTCTGTTATGATTTGTTTCTGTTCTCTCTCTCTCTCTGTGTGCGTGCGTGCGCGTCTGTGCATAGAGTTTTTAACATGCCAGCCCAAAAGATTCACCATCACTGGCTCTGAGAGAACAATGTGGTCCTTTCAAGTCTTGAGTGGTATACTACTAAATAATTTTCTTGTCCACGGGAAAATTGTTTGAAAAATATGAGGATATGATCGCAGAAAAAGATCATATCTAGTTTTTTAAAAAAACTCTCTCAAGCAAATAATTTTTTCAAAAGAAGAATGTATCTATGGCTCAGGGTTGAACTACAGAGTCCATAGTGCTCTCTCAGCTTGGTGGTTCAAAGGTTGTTCAAAGCTTAGAGAGCATCAAAAACTCCAATTTTTTGAAACTAACTTTGTTTACCTCAGAACAAGCTCAACAAATCTTACCTAGTTTTTGAATACAGTGTCAGAATGTTAAAGTTCTGGCCATTCAAATGAAATGTGACTCCAGAGCCAATTCCTATTAGAGAAAAAGGAAAAATAAATGCAGTGTATAAATTAGAATATCTGTTTTTAGCAAAGAATGTATTTATTCATGTCCATACAAACGTCTAAAATCAATTATTTCTGGATGCCTGAAAATGTTTTCCAGCTGTGAATCAAAGTTAATGTAATTGATTAGATGAGATGATTAAAAATGTTTGCCTACAACGAAATGCCCACACCTTGGTTGAGGAAGATTTTCTGCATCTCCTGTTATTACTATTATATTGACTTAAAAACTGTAAGTATTTCTTAAAAAATGACTTTAATCTCTTTTCTCATACTAAATTGACACAATATGATAATATATGGCCTTAAAATGGATAAAAATGGTTTTGTGGAAGATTTTGGTAACTGCTGGGATCTAATGGATAACATCAAAGAGTTTGTAGCATTTTGTGCAAGAGGTGATCTGGCTGAACCCGAGGGCAGGGTCAAACGCATAATTAGTTTGGAATTGCTACACTCCTGTAAGAGATCTAAGTCCAGCCCCCTCCCGAAGTTTGTAGACACTTATCTGGCACTAATTAGCCTTGACCATTAGTAGATCAGATTCTTGTGTACAGGTTGCATGGAACAAACTCATAGTGCTTTTCAATTCTATCCTGGCTCCTGATTTCCTATGCCTGACATTTTCTAAGTAAATGGCACCCATTCACAATATTTAAAATTACATTTATTTACACCTTCTTTTGGACAAGCAGCATTTTTAGCCTGAGACACCTTTGTTATTAAATCCTATGAGACTAAAACGTCATTAAATAAAGTCTGGATTATAAAAAAAATGTAAACCATGCTCTAACATTGGAGCAAAAGATTAATTTCATGGCATGGGGCTAGTCCAGGGGTAGGCAACCTTGGCTCTTTTATGACTTGTGGACTTCACCTCCCAGAATTCCGGAGCCAGCATGGCTTAGCTTGGAAACTCTCCCTTTCCCCTCAGCATAGGTGGCTCAGGAATTCTGGGAGTTGAAGTCCACGAGTCATGAAGGGGCCAAAGTTTTCCCCATGCTGGCTCTGGAATTCTGGGAGTTGAGGTCCACGAGTCATAAAAGAGCAAAGGTTGCCTACCCCTGGGCTAGTCTATCTGGGGAACTATATCAGCCCCAATAGGATTGGCCTGCCCCACCCATACACTGGAAGAAAGGGCAAGTTGTGGATCCCAATGGTCAAGGAATTCCAGCTGGTGGAGTCCAGGAGAAGAGCCTTTTCTGCCATGGCTCTTGCCCTTTAGGAATATAGCTTATTTTTATGATTATAAGCCACCTAGAGTCGCCTCTAGGCAAGATGGGTGGAGCATACTGTACGTTTACTAAATAAATAAAAACAAAAAATACTGTGTGTTTGCTAAATAAATAAAAATTAAAAATAAATTTACATTATACTTATAATGGGAAGTCATTTTTTCACTTTTTTTTCCTTTTCTTTGGTTTCTGTACTTTTGTCTTCGCTATTTTCTTCTTTCATTCTTAATATTAGTTCTTGTTAGTTTTATTCATTTTATATTCTCATAAAGTTTATAAAACAAAAACGAAAACTACATTACCATGTATTTGTCTAGAAGGCATGCCAGCTAGCGGCAGAATCGCTGGACTTCCCATCATTGTGTATACCAAAGATTGATCCAAATCTTCCAAACCAGGCCCAAACATAGCAAAGCGAGGCTCTGTCTGTGTGATCAGTGACTGTAGAAAAGAAGACATGGTGCTATATGTAGTCTTACAGGGTTTCAAAAACCTTTTGTGGAAGGAGCAGCATTTTCTATACCTGCATTTTAAAAGACATAGCAATCAAGCGTTAGTTGACAATGCCCAAGAAACATGGTGTATTACTGTATTCTACTTTTTTCCTTAACAGCTTCTCCCATAAGAATCTAAAGTCACTGAGGTGAGGTGGGCAATGTAGAAATGTGACAAATAAATAAATAAATTGATGTCCCTGGGGAGGTGAGGTGGGGGGGGGAGGAATTGGCTAGAAAAAAAATGCAAAATGCAGTAAAATGTAACTTTTTATCTGTCTATGGAAATTCTCAGTCATCCAGGTCACAGTTGTCCCAAAGATGCTTTTTGTGAGGCAACTGTTTCAACAGTTCCAAGAAGGCCCCACACTCATTTGTATTACTCAGATGACCCTGATAACACAGATAAACCTCCAGGTGGCCTCAATGACTCGCTAAAAGAATGCAAATGACCAGCTGTCTGCAAGGAATATAAATCCTTCCATTCCCCACCATCCAGTCAGAGCTGAAGAAGCTTCTTGGATGAGAAGCGAAACGTCTTTAAAAAACACACACCAAGAAAGTCCAGTTGCCTCCTGAAAAAGCACCTTTGGGGTAACTTTCTATCATACCACTGGAAATTATGATAGTATAATATAGTTGTCATAATATAATATAGTTGGATAATGACAAATTATACCAAATATGGTGTCATGTTAAATACAGGTAGTTCTCAACTTATGACTATAACTGGAACCAGAATTTCCATTGCTAAGCAAGATAGTGAGCAAGCTGTGCCTGGTTTTACGACCATGGTTGTTAAGCGAATCACTGCAGTTGTTAAGTTAACCATGTGGTTTGTAAGCAAATCCAGTTTCCCCCATTGGCTTTGCTTGTCAGAGGCCAGCTGGGAAGGTTGCAAATGGCGATCACATGACCCCAGGATGCTGCAACTATTGTAAAGACATGCTGGTTGCCAAGCGCCTCAATTTTTATCATGTGATCATGGGGATGCTGCCATGGTCATAAGTGCAAGGACTGGTTGAAAGTCATTTTTTTCCAGTGCTATTGTAACTTGGAATGATCACTAAATGAATGGTTGTAAATCAAGGCCTTCCCATACTGTATAGCTAATGAGTTTTAAAAAAATTACTTGAAAAAGAGAGCCTGCAAAGCAATTCATACTCAATTAAGCTTAATTAAGCCAAATGAATTTTATTCCCATACTGTATAGCTAATGAGTTTTAAAAATTTACTTGAAAATGAAAGCCTGCAAAGCAATTCATATTGAATGAAACTTAATTAAGCCAAATGAATTTTATTTTGGAGTAAATGTGCATGGAATTACTTTGTGACTTTCCTTTTCATCATTAGATGATCAAATACTTACGCTGCCATGAAATTGCATGGGTCAATATTATCTAGCTCCACAAAAGGCTGGTTAAATATCTTTGCATCTGGGAGGGATTCCCAATCTATGGAATTCCAAGAAGAAAGATCCCGAATGAGGAAATATCTCCAAAGCAAGGGATCCTGGATTGTTATTCTCCAATAGTGGTTGGTGCTTCCCAAATAGATCAGATCTTTTGGTGTGAGCAAGGACATAATGTATAATTTCACCTCTATCTGTAAATGAGACAATAAAATGCAGTTAAGCCAAGCCAAAAAAAAAAGCTGATTTAAAAAAAACATATAAGCACCCGTGACTTCAAGAAACATTGCAATATTTTATCGAAAGCTCCCGTTTACAAGACGAAAGCAGTGCCCATTAACATCTGCAGAATTTGATAACTGTGTGAGAGAAATTGCCGATCTCAGATTTATTTTTTTTTACCAAAAACTATAAGAGGTTTGTGGCTTTTCTCCAGCAGTTTTCTCCAGCATTATCCTATGACAGTGGTGGCGAACCTATGGCACGGGTGCCAGAGGCGGCACTTAGAGCCCTCTCTGTGGGCACGCGCGCCGTCGCCCCAGTCCTGGGCCTTCAGCTGGGTTTTATAAAACCTTTTCGCTTTAGGCCTCCACTGCCGTGTGCAAAAAAAAAAAAAAAAAAAGGTTCAATCAGCCAATTTCAACTTCTCGCGGGGAAGAAAAAGATCTTGCAAAGTTGGAATTGATTGATTGAACTTTTTAGTCCCACCCAGTCTGCCGTTACCACCGCAGCCACGCCCAGCCAATGGGCCACACCCAGCCAATGGGCCACACCCAGCCAGCACTCCATGATGCATAAGTAGGTTTTGGGTTGCAGTTTGGGCACTCGGTCTCTAAAAGGTTCCCCATCACTGTCCTATGAAATGGACCAAGTCTTCATTTTGGAGCATGAAGATCTGAGATGCCAACCAGGATGCCTTATTTGACTTCAGCTGGAGAGCAAGTACCAACTGGAGAACCAAGATCTTAATTAATTCCCTGCATCCTTCCACTTCTTTGCCTCCGAAGAAAAGCGGCCAGGGGACGCACCTTCGCTCGTGCACGGCATCTCTCGCGTTTTGTGAATGGGGCTTCTACCGCACTCGCCTCGCCCATTGACTGTGCAAGAGTACGATTGGCTGAATAATGATCCACCCTTAAGCGCTGGGGCCAATGAAAAATAGAAAGGGAGTCGCGGAAGAACGTAGACTTATCCATTCTCTCCCCACTATAACGGGAAGCGGACGCGTTGGAGCTTGTGAGGTGGCTTGAGCGAGTCCTTACCGGCAGGGTTTCCAGGGCGCTCGGCGGGCTGGCGTTCGTCCCGACTATCTCCTTCGCTTCCTCCTGCTTCCCCGGGGCGCAGTCCGTGTTTCCCCACAGCCTCGTCCGTTGCGCCCACTTGTCCCGAAGGAGTTGGAGGCTGTTGCGCAGGGCGCATTCCAAGGTGCGCCAGTCCCCGCCGGGATTGATGGACATGGCCCCACTCCCGGCTGCAAAACGGCGCCTGCTTCTGGGTTGACTTGCGAAAAGAAGAGGCGCGGAGCTGCAGTCGACTTCGGTTTGGTTGAGGCGGGAGGACTTAGCGGTCCAGACCGATGGAAAGCAAGGAGCCCAGTACGCCGCTCTCCTAGCTAGCCGCCTGTTTATCCGCAACTGGCAATGCTGGGGGGGTTGATCAGTCAGCTGGCTTCCCTTTCCGGGCGTCCCGCCTTCTGCCACGATTGCCCCGCCTAAGGATGCTCAAGTCTCCAGCTTGTGCAGTTTTATTGGTTTTATACTTGTTTTCAGAGTAACGCGTAAGATATACGTCCTACAGAATTTTTTGTGAATGTTGCTGAGGGAGGATTTTTTTTTTTTTTTTTAAGAACAGCGAAATAATGTATTCGTTTCAGCCCCATTTCTCAAGACATTGCCACTTTCGTGGAATCATTTTGTATTTTAATGTACTGAAATCTTCTAATCCACTAAGCAGAATGTGAAAAAAAAACCCAAATACTGAAATAAGTATTTCTTTCCATTTTAAACAGAAACACATTTCATTCCATATAATAGATGACTTTTTGCCTCGAATGAAGTCTTGGGTGATTAATACCTCATGCGGGGCCATCTCTAGCTCTAAAAATGTCATAGAAAGCTACATTAAACAGTCCAGTTTAAGTTGATGCATCCCTTTTAACACCATGGCAAAGAAGTCTGAGAAAAATGGGCAAAACAATGCAAAATGGAGTTTGTATCTAGAAGCATCAAAGGCTCCCGAGAGCCTGCAGGTAACGTACCCCTGGACTATGACATGATTTCATCCTGCCATAGGAAGTGAAGACGGACCATAGGAGGAATCTCTTGGTAGCTTGATAGAAGAGGTAGGAGGGCTGGGCAGAGCCCATTAGTACAAGAGAAGCAACTCCTTGAAATGTTCAGCAGTCAGTGTTTTTTGGAAGGTTGAATGGCTGCTTTGAAAGTCAGCCTTCAAGCGTTGTGCTGGGGCCACCAGCAAAGCTCCGTGGCTGTGTGCATCCTTGTTCAGATGGCCCGAGGTTAGATTTTGAAACAGCCGCTTTTAGCAACAAAGTCACTTTGTGCTACGATCCTTTGTGCAAGGTATGTCTTTTGGATGCTTTGCATAACCCTAATAAGGGATCCTGCTCTTATGTAGACAAATCTTACCAGCCTGACCCCTAAAAATATATATATATCAATTTTTTAAGCATCCCTGAACACTGACCCCTTTATTAGCTCCACAACTGCAGGCAATTCTCAATTTACAATTGGTTACTTAATGATGGTTCAAAATTATGATGGCCATACATACCTGCCTCATCTCCTGTGGTTATTTGGGCACTTGACAACCAGCTCACCTTTATGGCTGTTTGCAGCATTCCATGATAACATGACTATGGTTGCAATATTTTTGCCAGTTTCTGAATTTATTTCCAGTTTCTGGCAAAAAAAACACCTTTTGGGGACAATTGATTTGTTTAATGAGACCAAATTTACTTAATGACTACATTTTCAGCTCCCCATTTTCTTTCCTCAAAAAAGTGAAATCTATCAGTGCTTTAAGCAAACTTTTTACTTCCCAAATTAGACAGAAAATTGCAATACACGTATTTGGCAGTTTTTCCTGTTCCTCATAAAAATGTCAGGAAATTCTGGAAGTGCAACAAGAGAAGGGGCTTGAAGGGGCCATGTACAATTCATAGGTGTCTCCGACTTAAAATCAATCTCTAGCATCTAACTCATCTGAAATTATCCCAAAGTAATTTGTATTATAGTGCCAACGAATTTCTGTATAATTGAAATCAAGAAATGCACATTACTGTTAGCTCTTTTAAAAAAGATACGCACCCATGCTTCAACCATAAAACAAAAATATATATATAATTATATAATTTTCTTCACTTTAATACTTGTTTTCAGTACATAAACCATCTGATTATGTCAGTTAGGATGACAATTGTTTAAAATAATCCAATATGCGCTTTGCATTCTTTGTATCCCAACCATGTGATCTTAAAGGTCCTTCACACACTGCAATGTATTTTGTTAACATTTTCTCTCCAATTTCCTGAAAGTCCGTGATGATGTTTTCTGAACTGCCCGGCAATTCTCTATGCAGTTCTGATTCTGTGCCCTGATCTCCACAGTATTTCAGCCCCCAGTAACACATTTCTCCACAGTACATCATTGCCAACAGATGGGTATCACTAAAAATACCTGCCAGAGAGGAGAGAAAACAACATTTGGAAAGTGTCATTTGCATCAAGCAAACCCTAAAGCCTGGTTAGAGCTACTCGCCCTCCCTTTCCACTATCTGAAAAGCTAAAGCCTCCATTATATTATCATAATGATTGTAGAGGTGACATGTAAGAGACCGAAAGATGTATTAATTCTACAGGTAGTCCTTGATTTATGACAGCAATTGGGAACAGGATCATTACATGATCCTGAATAAGAAAGGGCATGCATGAAGTAATAATTATATTAAACAATAATTATTACAGAACTCCCTAGTTCCAGGTTTGTTTATTTTACAAGGATGATATACACGAACTGAAGAATCTGAGAATAATGTGCAAATAAATACTTCCAACTTGCAAGATTTAGTGGATTTGTCTAAAAAGTGCCTTTATTTCAATGTGCAGCTGAGAATTCTTTCTACTAAGAAGCATTAATATAGAACACTTACCTTCATTGACCAATATAGCTGTGCCTGTATCTTGAACTACAAATTCTTCATTTGGGTTATCAGAACTTCTAAAATCTAGCATCTTTATCAAGTAATGGATTCCTTCCTTAAGAAACTGAAGTGAAAAATAAATGGCATTTAAGATAGCCTTTTTCAATACACAGTTTCCACAACAGAACAATCTTCATGAATTACATGAACCAATTTCCATGCTATAAAAGTTATATTATTTACTTTCTATTTATCAGCAGACTCAAAATAAATCTGTGTGAATAAGAGGAATGTACTGATGGATACTATCAATACATAACTGAGCCAAGGATAAATATTTGTGTCTTACAAGAAGTTGGTTTGTTGTTGTTTTTTTTGTTTTTTTGATACAGGCATCCTGCACATGAAATGTTTTCTCTGCTATTTACAGCTGATACCAAATCTTGCTAGGTTTTAGCATTAAGGACTTGTTTGCTCAGGCTTGAGGTGGAACGTAAACCGCTGATATCATTGTTATATGTTTGCCATCTTGAGTTACTTGTAATAGATGGGATAAAAATCTAATAAATAAAATAATAAATATGATTTTAGCTTTTGTAATCTTATATGACTTAATTTGATATTTTCTGTACTCTACTTTTACTAAAAGTCAGGCTAAGTTCTTCTATAAAGAACTTAAAAGTTCACACCAAAACACATCATCTTTGTTTACTTTAGAACAGGGGTGTTAAACTGCCGGCCCGCGGGCAGTAGCATCATGCTGAGGCCGCGCCCACCCCAGCTCTGGCAATGCGAAAAAAGTCATGATACGTCACGACACATCACGTGATGTGGCGAGTTTGACACCCGTGCTCTAGAACAAAAATAAATACAGGAAGCAGTTTAATAATAATGGTAAAGTTGGAAGGNACATTTGGTTTTTCTTGCCTAAATGTAGAACCTTACTTTTTTCACCATTGAATTTCATTTTGTTAGATAGCGCCCAGTGTTCAAGTCTGTCCAGATCCTCCTGTATCTTAAGCCTGTCTTCTGGAGTGTTGGCTATTCCTGCCAGCTTGGTATCGTCTGCAAATTTGATGAGTTCCCCATCTATCCCCTCGTCCAGATCATTGATGAAGATGTTGAAGAGCACTGGCCCCAGAACAGAGCCCTGGGGCACCCCACTACACACTTTCCTCCCTGTAGATGCGGTTCCATTGAGGACCACACGCTGAGTACGGTCGGTGAGCCAGCTACGGATCTATCTGGTGGTGATGCTATCTAACCCGCATTTTTCTATCTTATCAAGTAGTAGGTTGCGATCTACTTTGTCAAATGCCTTACTGAAGTCCAAGTAAATTATATCCACAGCATTCCTCTGGTCCACTCATTTTGTCACTTGGTTTCTACTGAGGGAGATCACTGGGTCCTAATTTCCTCGACCTGAGCATTCTCCAGGTGTGTGAACTTTCAATTTCCAGAATTCTGTGCAATGAGAAAATGCTGGCTAGAGAAGTCTGGGAGTTGAAATCCATATATCTGAGGAACACAGAGTATTTTTTCTTCGGTCACGATCAGGTCCATACTGCAAAGCAGTGTTCTCGTTCTGCATAGGGAATTCCCGGAGTTCAAGCCCACCCATCTTAAAGTAGCCAAGGTTGAGAAACACTGGTGTAAGGGGAGGGGAAATTCAATCTATGCTAAGCCACAAATTTTGGTTCACTGCCTTTTATTTGTACTGGAAAAACATTTAAAGAATTGTCCATTTCTCATAGCCCAAATTTCAATTGGTGCCAGTCCATGTAATTGGCCCTGGAACTTATTTTGAAAAATAGGTATCATTCTTGCAGGAGGGGCCAATACTTTTATTGTGATGGAATGGGAAAATGTACCTTTTTAAGTAAGTCAGTCTCCTTCCTCAGCCATTCCTTTCTTCCTTTAACTGTGTGGCAAAACATGTAGATCAAAGCTCCTCTTCTCCAATAAAGGCATTCCAGCAACTCAACTCCAAGCACTTCAAGTGCCTAGGAAAAGATGCCCATCAGTGAAAAAGCTTGAGCTTCATATAAAAGAGAGGAAGACAGATGCCTCAAACATGTAGGTAGAGTAAATTCCTAATAGGGATCAGCATCCTTTCTAAATATCAGGCATTACTGTACAATTTCAGCTAGCATTATGTGGTCAAAATATTAAAATATATATTGAAAAGTTAGTATTAGAAATCTAAATCTTTAAAAGTTCTATAAAGCCAGCCTCATGATATCTTGAAAAAGCTATTCTCATTTTTCATTATCTTTCACTTTAAAAACTGTTATTATTTGTAAGTCAACAGGACATAAGGTAAATGGCATATGGTGCTCACAGGTATTACAACACCAATTCCAACTGTTAAAAACATGGGTTTTTTACTTGATAAAAGTTAAAAAGAAGTTAAATGGCACACAAAAGCCAATCGGATGTTAAGCTAGTTTATACTGATCTGACAGAGAAACATACTGCTGGATATGAATGCTGCAAAATATACAATAAAGAGTGCAGGAATGAAAGATTGGTTATTTGATAATGGAAGGGCTTTATTCAATGTTGATCATCAATGTTGATCATATTCTTGAACAAAACGTCTATCTGAGTGATTATGTCTGGCTTAATACTCACTTCTTGGGAAATGCCACTTTCATTGACCAGGTTCTCTGGCTCAGAAAGTGCACCAATTAGTTCCTCAACTTTCTGCAGAGATGATTCTTCTGGAAACTCTTCATCAACAAGTTGGTTTTCTTCAAAATACGTGATATCTAATAGTGCCTTTAAAGAGATGGAAGAGTTTAGGTTTTGTTAGATGCAGCCTGCTTAGACCTTCCTAACTACAGTTGATTGGCCAAGAAATATGGCTGCATTAAATAAAAGGTGGATTTTAAGTTAATTTTTCTTTGCATTTCAATGGGGGCACTCTCCCTTATTAGTAAGACAGCTATTTAAAAAACTGTGCAACATTGGGCTATCAGTTTGAACTGAATTCGATTTACTGTAGGGTTCACAGCTTTGCAACTAGAATTTTTTTTTTTTTTGCAGATCATAAGGGAAAACCACAGTTCTCCAAACAGAACAGCCCATTGGCCATTATCCTGTGCTCCAATCAAATCATTGCACTGAGAGCATCTGGAACAGTCATGGAGAAGACACTGTAGCAAATCTAAGAGCAGAAAAAGAACTAACCATAGACTGAGCAACCTTTTGCGCTGGCATGGTATTTGGCTTCTTGAGTGCTGTGCTAGGCAATGCATGGCAAAAAATGGGTGAGGAAAACAGAATTGCTTTTTTATTAACAATGTCTAGTATGATAATATCCTAATTATGGATCTACTAATTATTCCCCTAAATCAGGGGTGTCAAACTGCCGGCCCACGGGCTGGTTGCGTCACGAGGAAACCTGCGCCCATCCCATTGCTGGCAATGGGGAAAAAGCTATACATCGCGCGATGTCACGTGACATTGCAAGTTTGACATGTCCGCTCTAAATCTTTAACTTACAACTTTTAAGAACTTTTGGGAACAGTAGGGCCCTATGTGGCCCTGAGCCTCAGACTGTTCCAGTGTTTCATAAACTGGGCAACTTGCAGACATGTAGACTTCAACTCCCAGAAATCCCCAGCTAGCATGCTGGCTGGGGAATTCTGGGAGTTGAAGTCCACATGTCTGAAAAGTTGCCAAGTTGGAGATTTACTGCAAAGATGCACAAAGATGGCACAGCACTTATGCAGGTTTTTAAACTGCTACAAGCTCTTACCAGTTTTAATAACCTGTTTAGAACAATATGTTATTTGCAAAATATATCCTATATATAGTTCTTGCCAAAAATGAAAAAAAAATGCACTGAAAACAGCTTTAATCAAATGAAGATTTCAGAGTGCATTTGCAATCCAAAATCATTCAGTTGACTTTTAATGTTTTAATAACTAGTTGAAAGAATAGACCGGTTGGTCTGGGTTAATCATATATTTAAGCATACAAACCTTTTTTTTATTCCTAGTGTCATAAATTTTAGCTCTATTCTATTTCAAAAACAACTGGTAAGAGAATTTAATCAATTGGTTCAAAATTCCTTTCATATTTTGTTTTGAATGTCTCCCTAACTTCCGTTATTAAGTAAGCTTAGTATATTTTGGTTTCAATGAACCATATTCACAAGCATGATGAAAATTCTTTAATTCATAATACCTGTGTATAAAGTTGTATAAGTCTAGAATATGTGTAGTTGTCCCTGGATTCTTCCGAAAGTTCTGCTAGATTTTCCAGGGTAGCAGAGGCCTGAATTAAGAAAGCATCTGTCGACAGAAGACATTTCATATCCCAGTAAAACAGAGCAAAATTATCTATGCAATCAAAGTTTAGCAATGCTATTTTTAAAGAGCAAAATGTGATAGCAAAATATCCATATGATCTGAGATTATATGAAGGTCAGAGAATACAAGCTCAACATATATCTACTTACAAAAAACTTCTAATATAAAATACTGGGGCTTACAAAGTTAGCTGTAGCCTGCATTCAGTAAGTTACAAGTCACAACAGCTATATATTGACTGAAAGAATCAAGAGTGCATAAATCCCTGGATATTATTACTGGGGAACTATAACTAGGAAAAACTACTGGTTTCATATCCTGCTTGTGGGGATTTCCAGAGGTAAATAATAACAATAAAAAAACACTGGAAAAGTGACTAGTATGAACCAGGCAAGGTTAAATCGGTGGACGGAATTGGAATTGCAATTCCAGAAAGGATTTCCAGCAATTTGGAACCAATGCCAGTATGGCATGAAGTGAAATCTGACTTTCCATAGACTCTAGGAGACAGTTAAGGGTGCCATCAAATAAGACAATGGAACCAAGTTCTAAGGTATGGAATAATTTATCTAAATATTGTTTTAAGGAATGTTCCCCATGGAGGTCACTATCTATTCTCAAGGGTCAATGAGATTACCATTATGATTATTGTTCAAAGTATTATTAGTTAAAAAGCAGTAGTTTTCATTTATTAAAGTATTTTCATATAATAATTTTTAGGGATTGATAAACAATCTGAAATTTCATGAAGAGGTGGATGAAGACTTTGGGGATACTGGTTTTAAGTAACTATTTACCAAGCACAAGATGCAAGTAGAGGTGGTCTTTGGGTAATGACTACTCATTAGCTACTGCATTCATGTGATCATGATTTGCAACTTCCCTGCCAGCTTCTCTTAAGCAAAGTGAGAAGCTGGAGAAAGTCAGAAGTTGTGGTCATTTGAGATCAGTGTTTAATGATTTGCACTCACTTTATGACCACATGCTTAGTCACAGAAATTCTGGTCCTAATTTCCATAGTTAAGCAAGGATTACCTGTAGGTACATAAGAATAGTTTCAATGCTGCACCTGTGGATAGGCTTCTTAAAAAAGTTGGTCGGAGTAGCTAGCGGTAGTTGAAGTTATGATTTAACATTCAGCCAGTAGATTTAGTGGGTACATCATAGTAACTGGGTTCTTTTAAACATTGTCTCTTTATAATTCAGAATTATAATTTTATGATCCCATGTATCTTTTCACTTGATTATAAATACACCCCGTTTCCTGGGTATAAAAATCTTGCCCACAGACTCCAATACATGTTTGACCTGGTTTTACAAACCCATCATAAAGTGTTTGAGACTGAAGTACTCAAGGCCCTGCCTGAGTAGACTAAACAAATCTCATCTTAAAAAGGGAGGAAAAAAAAAACTTGTAAATGCAATAGAACAGGAGTTTCTTCATACAGAGTTTTCTCCCCCAGTGGCTGCTCAGCCAAACTGCAGGGCTGTCAAATCAGAGTTGCCGAGACCTACACAATAGTGTATACTTGCAATGCATATTGCTTTACAATATTTGCTGTTTTGCAATTCAAATGTATCCAGTTTGTGGTTTGCAAAACCGGATCTATGGCTAAGAATGCTGTACAAGCCCAGGCCACTGCAAATCGTTCAATAAAGTACAGTTAAACATATGAAAGCTTATATCCAAACACGTGAACCAGGCTTTTGAAAGGAGAAAACTGCAAGATGGGCACATCTTGCGCGTGGGGTTTCCAGAGGTAAACAATAACAATAAAGACAACACTGGAAAAGTGACTTTGGTGTGAATCAGACAAGATTCAATTCTCTAATCACACCACGGCAGTTGGCTGCTCCAGAAATGAAGAGCGTCCCAGTCCAACTCATTTAAAAGAGCACGTCGTGAAGAAAGAAAACATGCTCTTCCTCCACCCTTCGTATCCAGCCTGGTCTCTCCAATGGAAAAAGAGACCAATAATGAAAGGTCTGCCATGCCGTGGAAATGGCCAGCGAGAACCGTCTCAGGTCAGATCCGGGAGCCGCGTCATCACTTCTTACCGCCAAACTCTCCGCCTTCTCGCCAACGGTTCAGCCTCTCCGTTAACTCGGCGAGCCGCCGCTGCAAGATAACCGCAAAAGCAGCCTCGGCCATAAGGAAAAACCCGGGCCGGGCTTAGCGTCAGTTACACGCATCACGTGACTCATCATCACAGCTGCAGCCACGTGACCCCACCCTCTGTCACGTGGGAGGCTTGCGCCCAAGATTTCTCTTGTAACCTTGACCATTTTAAGGCATGTGGACTTCAACTCCCAGAATTCCGCAGCCAGCAATGCTGGCTGTGGAATTCTGGGAGTTGAAGTCCACATGCCTTAAAATGGTCAAGGTTGTGAAACAGTGTGTTAAAGTTTGGCGACGCGGCGTTTTGTTTTGTTTTAATGGGGAGGCGTTGATTGCTAGAGATAGGAAACCTGTAGAGGTGCCATTCCTTCCGTGTTGCTCCTTGCTCTTGTAAAGCGAAAAAAAAGTCACGTGGAAAGTTCAAAAGCATCCATAAACAGGGCAATGGGGCAAACCAGTTCTATATATTGTCCGGAAACTTCATGCACAGCAATCTCTAAACATAGAGATACCTTACCTCTCCTTTATGGAAGAAAGAAGGGAAAACTGCCTTTGAAATTATTTCTATTTCTTATTTTAAAATCACAATGGCACAATAATGTGATTGTGCAAGAAGCCCTCCCAAAAATGAAACATGTTTTTATACTTCTTAATGTGGGTCCTTTTCTGTTTTTTTCCCCCTAAATCAAATTCCACAGAGGTCAATCAAATAACATTTTTGAATAATTGCAAGGTATGCACTTGGAATTGGAACAAAAGTACCTGCTTCTTGAAGGCTATTTGTTTCACTCAGTTCACTTAAATATTCTCCTAGAAAAAGTATGTAAAATTATCTCTGGAAGTGGAGAAAGGGGAATTGCTGGGGGTCATTTTGAATAGAGAATTTGATGTTGAGAGTTCAAATAAGTCTCAAGATTCCCAGGAACTATTTAATACAGAATTACAAATTACAAAATTCAAAGGTCAGTGTAACAGTTAAAGAGGGTCTTATACTGGCTTACCACGTGCTATATCAGCATTTTTAATTAATAAAATAACTGGATGACAGTTTTCAGTTCTTTGGAAGTTATTTATTTTCTGTGTTATTTAACCTCAGCTGAGAATAACACAGAAGTACATTGTAGTGTTGAAGGAAAAGTCTTCATCATGGTTCAGTCCAAGCCGGGAATAAACAGCATGGCGACTGCTTTAGAAAGAAGGTTACAGTTTATTGAAGAGGCGAGCCAGACAGAAAGATGGCTCTGCAAGAAAAGAAGAGAGAGAGCATATGTAGGGAGTGGGTTTTTATACCCTCTGAGGCTTTTGTTTGGAGTTGTTTCCTGTTCCTGTTTGAGGTTTTGTATTTCCTGTGTCATTAAGGTGACCAATGTTTTTACAATGAAAAGGAGGATACAAATAAATTGAAGAAAAAAATATCGTAAATAAAAGAAACATTTTATTCATTGCAACAATAATACAGACAACTTGCATGTGCAAATTTTGCCAGCGCAACTTGTTTTGGCGTGCTCAGCAGCAATTCCTATTGGCTTTCGAAAGCCAATAGCGAGAGTAGCACAGCTCATGCAAAAGTTGAAAAAAACCCATCAAAAAAAGGTGTCGGAATGCGGTTCTGAGTGTTCTATGAGGGAAAAAAAGCCCTGCAGATTAGTCTTCAAATATCAAAAAGGAGGACATGTAGGAGGACACTTTTCGAGGGAGGACAGAACTTACAAAAGGAGGACTGTCCTCCCTAAAGGAGGACGGTTGGTCACCTTATGTATCATGTATTCTGACCTGAGTCTGGGTATGCCCTTTGGCATCTGTCGGTTAATCCTATTATATCCTGTCTTAGAGTTTGGGTGGGGCATGTAGATTTTAGGTGTCTTTGTCTTCCTAAGCTTCTAACTGCGGGCCTCCAACCTTCCTGGATTATTTACATCTGCATTTCTACAGAACTGGTTTCTGCTTGGGGGAGGGAGACTTGGGGCTATTAAGAGAACTGGGCATGCTTTTCTGTCTCTTTAAGATCCTTTGAGGAAATATATTTTTCTGCCCTTTTAATATTTCCTTCTTTGGGGGGCCGATTTCCCACAGTAGGATTGTGGTAAACCAGGGGTGTCAAACACGCAACGTCATGTGACGTGTCACGTCGTATCGTGACTTTTTTTCCCATTGCTGACAATGGGGTGGGCGCAGTTTCAGCATGATGCATCCGGCCTGTGGGCCGGCAGTTTGACACCCCTGTGGTAAGCTATTACCTCAGCCTTCGCAAGCTCTTAGCTTAACTTATAGTGGTTTTGTAAGGTCCCCAGCCCTTCCTTAAATTTGAGGTACCATTAAAAGGCTAATCAGGCAACTAAATGGAGGCTTCATGAGGAAACAGTGCTTTAATTGATCAAATAAAACAGCTGGGTGACAAACAATCTGGAGCGCTGGCAGAGTTATGTCCAGAAGTGCCACACCTTAGAAAGTTAGTAGCATTGCTTTATAAACTTTGTTAGCCGGTGAAAATCAGACAACAGAGCCATTACATCATAAGGAAGACATCAATCATTCCTATACACTTCCTTATTCCCTCCTTCAGTACATCCCATCCATGTCCATGTTTTTCCACGTTTGCATGAAATTTGTCCCTGAAGACGATTACAAAAGCGAGATAGCAATAGTTAGGCTAAACAATTTCTTTTTGTTCCAGTTACAGAAGTCTTCAGTTTGCACAGGCAAAGAGGATAGCAAGTTCTAAGATGAGTGCAAATGGGCCTATTTGGAGGTCAAACAAGTCAAAGAGTGGCTTGAGTCTGTTTGCTGGTGACTTTTAACATGGTATATAGTAGTATATCCATTAATTACCAATCTCTCAAAAACTGGAGAATTGTTTTGCTGGATAATACAGGTAATTCTTGACTTATGTCCGCAATTGGGACAAGATTTCTGACTGTAAGTCATTACAAATGTAAGTTGAGGCAGCCACATGACTGGACTTGTTTTATGACATTTTTTGCAGCAGTTAAGCAAATGCCAGGGTCTTAAGTATAAATCCCCCCTTTGTGCCATAAGTGAATGATCTGGTCAGGGAGACTTGGTAAACAAACTTTAAACTGTTAAGCCAAAAAAGAAGAAGAAGACACTAATAGAGACAGCAGAAAAAGATCCCTGCAGTGGCTCCCAAAAGGGGAGCTTCCAACCATAAAGGTCTAAAAGTCAGGGCAAAAGTTCTGTTAGATGAAAAAGAAATTTAAAGTGTCCAATATTCTGTGCCAATCATTTTCAAATGTTGGATGTCACTTTGAGCTTCCAGTTAGGTTTGCACATTCCTCCCAAAATTCTTCACAGCCATGGTTTGTCTCAGTACATAACCACTGGCTGCCCATTTTCAAGGGTTGTTTCCTGCCTTAGCTCTTAGTTCAGTGCATCCAGGTTTGTGATGTCCAATTGAGGTTAGCCAGTATGCAAGCCAGCCTATTAAATTTTCTTAAATTGCACATAGTAGCCCGAGGACTCCCAATCTGAGTCCACCAGTGCAAGATATATTCAGGGCTTAGGTTTGGAGATCTCTTTCCTGCTACTTCCCTAGTCTGGGCATATGAATTGCAAATCACCTGAGGGGGCCTGGTTCCCTCCCCCTTGGAATTTACTGGAAGTTGTTCCTACAAAATTTTAATGACACAGGGCAAGAATCAGGCTGGAGCTTTACTGAAGGTAGGTGAAAGAGATAGACCCAATGTGATTCTGAATGGTGTGTGTGTGCATGTGTGTGTGCAGCTGCTTCTACAAAACAGGCAATACAACCATCCTGGACAAATTTTCCCTCCCACCAGACAGAAGTCCAAAGTGTTCAGTACTTGCTGTACCAACTATTCCCAAATGCCATCACTCCATAAATACATTAAACTGCTTAATTACAACACAAATCGGGCAAGAAAGAAACCCTTACAGTGAGTTTCCACCCTCTCCCCATAGTCTTCATAGTTTTCTTCTGAGGCTTCAAGTGGGGACCAGTGGCTCCAGGACTCCTCCTTTCCTCTGCAGCTTTCACAGGCATCTGGGGTGCATGGTGGCTTTTTAGTGGATGGCTGGATTCATAACCGAATTCCATGGCTCAAATGGACGGAGGCAGCATCTGGGTCAGTGTGATCTGCTTCCAAAAGGTTGTTGAGTCCTCTATGCAGGGCTGAAAGACATGAGAACAAGATCTTCTCCTCCCCCCTTTCTGGGTGGACTCTCTCAGGAGAGGCAGACAAAGGAATGGAGAACAGAGGATAAGAAAAGGAGAAGTAGAATGGGGGGGTAGCTTACAGACAGAGTTTGAAAAGGCATTTGTTGTAGTTGTTAAAGAAACAGATAGGCAGAACAAAATGAGGAAATCTCAGATGAGGACAAAAGAGAGGCTGGATTCTGATAAGAGAACATGAATGAAAGGTCTCATTTCTGAACTGAACATTTGTAACATGTTAGAGAGGACTTTGGGACTTGTAACTTGAAAAATGCTGGTCATGTTTCAGGAAAAAGGTAGACAGATAAAACCCATTTACAACATATACAGTAAATGCAAGAGTGAAACTTTTCCAGCAGATGAACTTAAAACATTCCTTCCTGCTAACTTTGGGTTGTTCTTAAGAATACAGAGAGAGAAAGGGAAAAAGAGGATTTTTTTTTCTTCACTCTGTTGGCCAGACAAAAGAGTGAGGATATTTTACTTTTGATGGCTTAATTTAAGCAGAATTTCTAGCAGAATTTTACAATTCTTTTCTTTTTGGATTAGAAACAATTAACAGTCACATTTACCTCACACACAAAGACTTTAAAGCACATATATACACAAAGACAAGAGAACAGAAAAGGAAATAGAACTTTCAGTTCTACACATCCTAGTCATTCCCACCATAAATCTCAGTTAACTCAAATTAGGGAAGGCACAAATCTTAAACATATCATGTGGTTGCAGAGAAAGAGAGAGAGAGAGAGAGGGAGAATCACTATTTCTTATATTCCCTTTATGTACCTTTATTTAGCCAAATTGGTTTCCCAGTAAAACCCTAAGCAAAGTCCATTTTTTTTATACTTTCTCTACCTATCTCTTTTTCATACCTGCCTGAACGGGTAGCTGAT